TTTATTTCTTGATTTTGACTTTAAACCTTGTATGTTTGCAAATCTGAATGATTGTCGATATTGTATGTCACTTCTGGAAGGTTTTGGTAGTTCTCCCCCCCCCCTCTCCACCCTGACACAGGGTGTGTTGTTCTGGCAATTGTTTGTTCAGTTTTGGAAGTGGTACTGTGGAGTGTGGTAGTTTCTGTGTAGTTGGGGGTGTAGTATGTGTGGGCTTGATGACGAATTGTAGTCCAGTCTTGGGCATTTCCCCCTCTCCATCCATACTCCTACAATGTTTCTGCCTGTCTGTTCCTCCCCCCGTTTCTGCCTGCCTCTAAAAAATTTCCAGAGCTATTATATTTTACTTCCTCTCTTATATAGTGCTGTGTACCTCTCACATGGAAATCAGTGCAATGAAGATCGTAGCATTTCCTCTCATTAACTGAGAGTTTGCATAGCTTAAGGTGAAAATATCTACACTCTGTACCAAAGCGACATCTGCCTTTCCCTAACATGTTTCAGCATTTCTGGGGATGCATGAATGTGCATTCCGTACCTCTGGTCCCATATCTGCACTATCCTTTTACATAATATCTGCAAATATTTTCATCTGTGCTTGTATTCTTATTGTTTGTACCCATGCACGACTTGGCTACCTCTGTGTTTTTTGTTCCAACTTTCTCGTTTCCGCATTTTCTCAGTATTGCCCTTATCTTTCTCCTTGTTGCTTTCATCTTTCTCATTTGTGTTCTCGTCCTTCTCATTTTTTCTCTCCTTATTCATATTACCAGTGTGCTCTTCAATATTGCCTTCATTTTCGTGTACTTTGACACAATGTCCTTCTACATTGTTAATTTGGCTCTCTAAACTCTCAGTCCCTGGGTTGTGTTTAGTGTCCATTGCTGTCTTTACATACTCTGCATATATTTCTGGTAGCTTTTGTGTGAATTTTAGCCTATGTACTTCAGGAATGTCATTCATTAGTTTGGTGATGTTTTCCCACATCTGTCTATCATTTTGACAGATCCAGTAGTTACCTTGTCTGTTTGCATATTTCGCCTTGAGTTTGGTGATCCCGTCTTCCGGAGGTTTTCGGCCTCCCACATCCCGCCTCTTGTAGTGCGGGAGACCTTCGCTGCTTACCTCCTGCACGTCCCGGATTACGCCTCCATAATGGTTCCTTCATATTGTGTGTTGGTTTCGTCAGCGTGTGTCATCTGCCCTTTTGAAGCTATTTGCGCCGATCTGCGGGGTGCAGTGTTGCTACTTTTGCTTCCCGTCTTGCGTGTCGGCAGGTGGTGCTTGCTTCCTCTGTGAAATTTGCTTGGGCCCTGGCTCTTAGGTTGTCTTTGCCTTTTTGTCCCTTGCTGTTTGCAGAGTCTGCAGTGGTACAGTAGGCGGTACTGCAGGCAGCTTCATCCGGTTGTCGTCCCTTGTTGGACTTGTTGGTTCTCCGTGGGGCGTAGGGGAGTCTTCCCGGAAAGGTTGTGCCAGAGCTCAGGGTTCCTCCCGTCGGGGTAGGCCAGTGGTACCAGTTTCAGCGCCAGTGCAGCCTTCGGAACCTTCTTCATCTGGTCGGTGCTGTGATCACTTTGTGCGGAGGTCGAGTTCACGTAACCCATTCACAGTTCGTCCCATTGACAGGGCAATGGGGGGGAGGCTCACTCTGTTTGCTCACACCTGGTCCCATGATTTGTGGGGCCTTTCGGGTCATTTCGTGTAGCTTACGGTGGTGTTGGGTGGCTCCTCCTATTTTGGGGGGGGGGGGGTTACAGAGTTGGCAGGGTGGGCCTTTTCTCTTGCGCTCTGTCGGGTCATCTCAGAGTGGGCTCACTTGGGCGTGGTTGGCATGACCTCGTCCCTCCAGTGGTTTCCCGCCTGTTTCCAGTTCTGAAATGGGACTGGAAGGACCTCAGGTTTATTCTGGACTTATCCAGTCTGAACCCATGGGTTTATTGCCTCTCCTTTTGTATGACCATTCTGTCACAGGTCTGTCTCCTCTTGGAGCTGGTTGCTAGGATGGTGTCCCAATTTCTCCGGAGTTCAGAGGCTGGTTTAGTTTTGTTGTGGGGCATCAGGGTTACCGCTTTCGTTGTTTTCCATTCAGCTTGAATCTGGCACTTTGTGTTTTCACACGCCTTCTCTGGTCGTGGTGGCCTGTCTGCGTCTTTTAGGGATTCGGGTTCTGGCCTACCTCGATGACTGACTGGTGTTGGCTCCCAGCCGGTCCCCGTGTCTGCTCGCTGGGGATTTGTGCTTTCCCAGCTTGCCAGGTTCGGGTTCCTGATGAATTAAAGGAAGTCCCATCTGGTTCCCTCTCGGGTTTGATCTTGGCTGGGATTTGTGTGGGACTCTTGGATCACTTTCTTCATCTCTCCTTCTGGTGGCTCTGTTGTGGCTGCAGTTCCACCTTCGGCTGTTTCTGGAGTGAGGGTTTCCGGGTCACGCAGCAGTTGGTCGATAGTTCGTGCAGGAGTTTGAGCTTTGACGGGTTAGTCTACCTGCCGGGTTGAATTTGGCTTCGTTGGCTGTTCTGGTTCCTTTGGGGATGTCCCTTCCACCTCTCGCAATTGCTGGGGTTCGGCCTTCGGGTGCCTTACGTAGGCTGCTGCGTTGCTGGCATCCTCTTCGGGTTTTTCGGGGTTCAGCGCCTTGGCGCCCAGTTCGCAGCTGTGTGAATGTCGCTTCAGAGGGTTCGGGTCGCTCGCGGATCAATGATCTGGCTCCATTCGGATGGCTTCCCGGTGATTCCTTGCCTGAACAGCGAGGGTTCATTGTAGTCCTTAGCTCTTTGGGTGACTCATCTGCTGAATTTTCAGGGTTTGGCTCTCCTGGCCGTTCATGTTCGTGAGGAGTCCAGCGTCCTGGCTGGTGTCCTTCTCGGTTCATTCCTCTGTCCACGGAATAGACGGTCGATGCCGACGTGTTCAGTTGACTTTCCCTGACATATGGGCTCCTGGATGTGGACCCCTTCACATTGGCGTGGTCGCAGCATCTTCCGATATATGTGGCACCCTTCCCCGACTGCGAGGCCATCGGAGTCGATGCTTTTGGCAGGACTGTTTGAGGTGGGGTTTCCTGTACCTCTTTTCCCCGGTTCTGCTGTTGCTCCAGATCCTAGCTTGTTTGGAGACTTACTAAGGGAGAGTAGTCCTTCTGGCCTCTTGGTGGTCAGCCCAGCCTTGGTTACAGGTGCTGCTTGCTTGGTGTCCAAACCCTGGGGTCTTCTCGTGGCTCCGCCTCTTTCAGCAGGTCGGGCCAGTTCGTTACGTAGCTGATTCGATCTTCTCCTCCGATCTTCGTGTCTAATCTTTCTGATGCGGGTCTAGCACCACTTGTATGGTGAGCAGGTGGCTTCTTTGATGGTGTCCCACTTGCATGCTTCGTCTCGGGGGCAGTATGAAGTTTCGTGGCGGTCCTTCCATTATTTCTTATCCCTTCGTAGGTTTACTTCTGTCTCTGCTAATGTTGTCTTGTCCTTTCCTTCATGGTTGTTCCAGGACCGGCATCTTATGCCGAATACTGTCGCCTTGTATCGTGCGTCGCTGGCAGAGCCACTGCAGCTTGTGTTCGGCATTGATGTTATGTCTGCACCGTTCTGCAAGCTTTCTTGTGCATTGTTTCTCGTGCTCACCTGCTTACGCGCTGCCTGAGCCATCCTGGTCTCCTTTCTTTCTTCTCCTTGGTTTGTGGTGGCACTTTCGGTTCAGGATTGTTTAGCGAAGGCTCTTTTCTTGTTGGCATTGGCCTCTGGGGGTCGGGTTGGGGAGCTTCATGCTCTTCTCCTGCGTAGAGGTTTCTGCTCTTTTGGTCCTCGTGGTAGGTTTGTTTGTTTGCAGCAGTCTCCTTTTTTCTGGCAAAGAATGAGACTGCTGCTTTTCGGAGAGGCCCCTTGGGTTGTTGATGGTTGGTTAGGCCAGGGGTGCATCGTGTGTTGTGTCCAGTTGCGGCTCTCCACTGTTATCTACGCATCACGGCCTTGGTGGCCGGGGATGTGCTTTGGGTTGACCCGGTTTCCCTTCTTCCCTGTTCCAGGGTTTGGGTCTCCCAGGTTGTTTGCAGGGCACTTCGGTTCAGCCAGCCTGCAGTCTATCCTCATGCCTACGCTGTTCGTATGTTGCTGCATTGGCTGACGTTTTTGGTGTCATGTCTGGAGCTTTCATTTGGGCATGTGGTTTATTAGAGGTCGTGTGGTGCAGCCTGATGTCTTCGGGTAATTAGCTCCAGGAAGCCAACGGGGCTTTCCCCAGAAAGCTAGCGTTGAATATAATGAAATGCCATTTTCTGGGTGAGACCCGGAGGCTCCCCGGCAACCCTCCCTCCCTCCAATTGGCAGTTTTTTGTGTATTTTGACAACCAGCCTCAGAACCTGGGATTTGGATAGCCGGTGTGGGGGTCTGGGGCTCCCCTCTTTACCCTCCCAGGGAGGGGGGGAGGTGCTGCACAGACGGCGGCGTGGTGACATCAAACTATTTTGCTCATTTTTATTTGGGGAGTTCTGTCCACTAGTTTGGCTTTCAGTAGCAATATTTTAAGCAGAATAGGGGTTTTATTTTGGGGTGCTTACCTTGCTGGGTGCCTGACCCAATCGATGGCAGACATAGAATGCTTCCAACCACACAGGGGTTTCTATAGGCCATTGCTCCTCGTACCTCTCTGAGGGGGCCAGGTTCTGGCTCGTGGTCCCTAGTAGGCCTAGAATTCCATGTGCATCGACTGATGCCAGGGTCTAATATATTCATATCAGCCCGGTTAGCTCCGGGGGAACCTCTGGGTCTCACCCAGAAAATGGCGTTTTGTTACATTCAACGCTGGGTTTTTTCATTTTTAACGGTGCACATACGTGTACAGTATTTATCACAATGATATGACATTTATATATGTTGATAAAGTTGCGAATATTTTATTTTTCATTAATCACTAAGATTAAAATGATAATAAATTATATATTTATAACACTATTGTATTATTCCTGTACACACAGTTATCTCACTGAATGCTACTATATGTCTTTACAGCCCCCCTCCAACAGTCAAGCTTCCTAGCGACCCTATTGTGGAGATGGAGGCTTCTGCCAATGCTGATGATAGTGATCAAAACAGTGATGAGCTCAAACAAGATCATGCACAGTTAAACAAGGATGAAAATGAAGGTAAGGAAGACAATTTAGATGAGGAGGATGGGAAGAGCAACAAGGATACACTAAGGAAAAAAAGCAAGGAAGATAAGGAAAAGAGAAAGATAGAAAAAGAAACAGAGAAATTCTTGAAGGAATTGGAAAGAAAAGAAAAAGAGGCGGATAAAAAGGAAAAAACACGAGAGAAAAAGTTAAAAAGCCAAGAAAGGAAAGAAAAAGTTAAAGAAAAAAAAGATCAAGATAGACTGGAGAAAAAGGAGAAAGATAAGCAAGCAAAAGATGAGACCAAATCAAAAGACAAGGACAAGAAGGTTAAAGAAGATCAGAATATAACAGAAGCTGAATGTACTCTAAAGGAAAGTATGAAGATTGCATCAGAGCCAGATAAAAAAGTGAAAAGCAGAATTGAAGACAAGGATTTGGAAGATGACCCTAGGATTGGCACATGGAACAGGCTTTCTGCCCTCTTCAAGTTCAGTAAATTGAACAGCAGGAGTTACAAGTGTGAAGACGAAGATACTAGTGGACAGGGTAAAGAGTGGCAGGCTTCCTTGGACCCTGAAGCTCCACCTCTTCCCCCAAAGCCTTTACCAAATTCCCCAATTATGAAGAATATAGGGACAAGAGTAGATATATAGACATAAAATACTATGCATTTAATATATAGCATTTTTGTACTTGATATTTATTAGATTTTCTGCATGGGATCTCTCAGTAACTTCCTAAGCTAATCTGTGGTATTGTACCACCAAACCTTAGCCCAATACACCAGGTCTCAGAGACTCATTCATCACACATTAGGAGCTAGAAATAGAATCTGGCTCACTACACAAGCAAAGGCAACAGGGAATCAGAGATCAGCCATAACAACTGAGAAAACCTTCACCAGACAGCATAGGCATAACAAAACAAGTGACTGCTTGATGGAAATTAAGCATCCCTTGGAAACATAGTAAATGATTATTGCAGTGGGGTAAATATCCAAACTGTGATGCGCATATGACCAGTATTAGATGGCAGTCCAAGTCAACTGAGGACTCGTCCAGTTTTTTCCTCTTACTTCTCCATCTCGTATAGCCAGCCCAACACCTTTAATCTGTGTTGGACCTTATGTCAGCTTCTCGGTTTTAACTAAGTAGTGTTAGTTTCCTTGTAACAATACGTTCAGGCGGGGAACATTGCTTTGTTTATTATTATTCCTCGTGACAGTTTATGCCACCCACAATGCATTTGCCCTAGTATTGCATTTTTCTTCCTTGGGGTCAGCTTTCATTTACCCACACCTCACTCAAGATAAGTGTTCTGAGGGGTTGCAAGCTCCTACCTCTATCTTCTATGTGCTAGCTCTTCTCAAATCACCTTGTTTCCTAGACGTGTATGATATTTATTCTTCCCAGTTAATGGAGAGGAGATGATTTTGTCAAATTTGAAAAAAATACAACTTTTTGATTGTGTAATTGTACATGAGAAGATTTGCTCATCACACTGGCTTGCCGTGCTTATCTATGGGTCACTCATTATGTTGCATTTATGATTTCTGGTGAGTTTTTCTCCTGTTTTATGATTGTGATTTCTGCTCTCCTGTTCCTTTCACCTCATAAAGTGAACCAGATTCTAGTCCTGTCTTTGGGTTGGTGAGAGGTTGGGTCTCAAAAACATGGTATGTAGAGCTAAGGCTGGCTGGTGGCAAAGATAAGCTTAGAGGGCTAATGGCACCCCACCAGAATAGGGTGTTTAATTTCTTTTGACATTTTTTTCCTTTGGTTGATCTATGCTTTTCTTTGATATTTTCTCACCCTTTTATTCTTAAATTTGGATGCATTTCACATGTGTACATAGTGTCGTGTTAATATAGGAGTGTATCTCATCACTAGAGTGTCATAAATAATGATTTAGTGTCAGAATATTGATAAAATATAATATTGTTATATAAAAAATTAATAAGTATAATGTACTGTACAGTATATATATTATTTATAAATTATTAAGCCATTTTTCTTTTAATGTACTAGTGAATCATATTGTATATCCATTCCTCAAAGTAACTGCAATTCTCTTGGTAGTCAGCATTGTTTAAGTTATTTCAGGGAGGGCCTCCTCAGTAGCTTCCAATTTTACTACCTTTGGCTTCCCTTCAAAGAAGCTAAGGATAGCCCGTGAATCAGAGATCACCATAGTATTAGGAAAATCTCACTAGGAAGCAAACAAGCACGCTGGCCTGCTGCATGTGCTCCAGTTGGTGGTAATTTCTTGATTTGGTGTACCAGAAAGGCCTCCCTGTATCCCTGTAAGCGAGCCTGGGTGCAGGAGCATGGTTCAATATTGGGTCTCGAATGGGTCTTTGTATGCCAGGTGTGTCCTTGCCAAATTTACCTAGTAACTGTTTTACAACTTGAAAACTAAATGAACGGAAATATGGTTTTCTACATGTTTTCACAAGATACATGTTGTAACTGTTCAGCATTGTTATGTCAATAAGGTGGAAAATCATTTTCTTTGTCCACTTCACTGTTTTCCGTACACACTCTACAGCACCCACCATCATGTCACATTTATCAACTAAACGCATGTTGATGTTGTAGTCCATCACACAATCTGGCTTATATATTATTTGCTTTGTTGTTCTTTTCACCTTGCCACTGTCCACCATTGAACCAAGCTGAATGGTGATCAGCATGTTCACTTCACATCTGTCTTTCCATCGCACTGAAAGTATTGCACCACTTTTCTTACCTCGCAATCACCTACTTGCATAGCATTGTCAAACACAGGCATTTCCCTTCATTTTGGCTTTACTGTGCCACACACTCCAGTTTTATTATCAAGCAAGAATTTGGTTAGTAAGGGACTGGTATAATAGTTATCTGTGTACAATATGTGGCCCCTTGTTCAAATATGGTGCAAGCAGTGCCTTCACCACACTACCTGAGAAGCCATATTGGTCATTAGCAGGAATGTTTACATTTGTAGTGGAATACAGTATCATGTGTAACACCATTCCTGATTCACAGTCACAGACCACAAAGAATTTCAATCCAAATTGGTGGCGTTTTGAGGGAATATACTGCTTGAAGGCAGCACGTCCTTTGAAAAGCACAAGGGATTCATCAATAACCAGCTTCTGAGCTGGTACGTAGTAATCTCTGAACTTTCCAATCAGGTCATTTAGCACGTGCCTCACCCTCCAAAGCCTATCATCCTGTCTCTGGTCTGCATTATTTGCAAAATGAAGGCACCGTAGGATCAACAGAAATCTGTCTCGGGACATATATTTCCCGAACAATGGTGTTGGAACAGCGTTGTCTTTGCTCCAATAATCTGATATCACGTGTTTCACACAATGTTTCATCAACATACAAATTGTGAAAAACACATACAGTTCACCTACAGTTGTCTCTTTCCAACGCTGTAGTCGTGAAAATTCTGATACCTCCTCACCTTCAATGAAATCGGCTTGAAGTCTGTTCGTTTCGTGAACAATGTGTTCCATGAGCAGCTCATCGAAATATGCAGTAAAGAAGTCCATTTCACTCATTTTGTCACCAGTATCAGGGAAAAGATCTGTAATTCCCACATCTCTGTTGTCAAAGTTGGGAATTTGTGGAACAAAATCTTCCCCATCACTCCACACAAATAAACCTGCTGCCTTCCGAGAGTCATTAGCTGCACCACGGCGAGGAGTCCGGGGACCAGGAGCTGAAGCAGGCCTAGCAACAGTAGGGGATTATCTAGAGGTTATCTTGAGATGATTTCGGGGCTTTAGTGTCCCCACGGCCCGGTCCTCGACCAGGCCTCCACCCCCAGGAAGCAGCCCGTGACAGCTGACTAACACCCAGGTATCTATTTTACTGCTAGGTAACAGGGGCATAGGGTGAAAGAAACTCTGCCCATTGTTTCTCGCCGGTGCCCAGGATCGACCCCGGGACCACAGGATCACAAGTCCAGCATGCTGTCCACTCGGCCGACCGGCTCCCTAGGGTCAGGAAGGGTCGATGAGGGAAAAGTATTGGAACATGAGGGGATTTGTTCCTCATTGTTGCCATATTGTTCCATGTGGCGGCGCTTGGCTGGGCGGGCAGCTGATGCGGTGAAACTTGTACTGGCACTAGTAGGCGGGGTAAAACTATTCTCCGATTCTACATTACTAAAACCTGAGAATGAGTCACCTGTTTCAGACTCGTTGATCATATCATAAACATGCAATGGAACAGATGAACTATGTGCTTGGGCGCGAAGTGGTGTTGAGTAGTAGCGGGTAACTCTCGTGGCATCCTCACCCTCGTGGCACCAACATGTTCACCCTCACTATCAGTAGTTTCTATTTCTTCAGGCTGTGTATAGTCCTCATCTATATCCGAGTTGTCAATATCAGATTTGTCAACGTCCTTGAACTGTTGGCATTGGCAATTTCGTCTTCGGTCAAAGACTGAGCAGTGCGCTTAGCGAGGTCAGACGCTGGGTCGTGATACTCTCGCCATGGTGTCTGGCCACTAACTAAGGCCTGGGAAACAAAGGAGGCCTGCTCTAGATTTTTTTCAAGATGGCGTCTGTTTACAATCTCCCCTGGCTACGGTATGGGTTTTACACCGCTGTTTTACACCTTTACACCGCTGGACATTTGAATCGTGCCTGGCACCCTTTGGTGTATATCTATACCATGCTCACGGTGGGACATGTTACTCATGGAGTATATATACGCCATGCACACTTGAAGGGTTAACAACATAAACAGTCATTACTGCTGCGAATTCACCACCTTGATACAGGCCTGCCACCAGATGACAGCTCAGGTGAAACAAGGTTTCTCCAGACAGTCAGCTCAGTCACGAGCCTGATGCATGTCTGGAGACACTCGGCTCTACAGGGTTCTCTGTCTCATTTTGACTTTAAGATAAGTGACTTTTACCCCTCCTGTAGTTCCTGTTCCTCTTCACCATCTTCCTCTTTCTGTCCATTTGTCTCGCTTACAAGATTCTCTTTCAGTTCGTATTACCAATGTTTCTCCTCGTATTGTTTCGTCCTTGCCTCCGTGGAGGGGTTCCCCCCTTGTCAAATTTTGTACTTCCCTGACCTGCATCACTAAAGCTTTTACCCCTCCTACAGTTCTGAAGGCCCTTTTCCTTGATCACTTTTCTTCACACTCCCACTCCGTTTCCATTTCCACAGATGGGTCTAAGTCTGCTGACGGTGTGGGTTACTCTGTTGTTTTTCCTGCCCACACTTATATGTGTCGCCTTTCTCCGGAGGCTAGCATCTTCACAGCAGAACTTTATGCTATCCTCTATGTTCTTCATCCCATGCTTTCTCGTTGTCAATCCTCCTTTGTGGTGGAAGTTGACTCTCGTAGTGCCCTCATGGCTTTGGGGTCCTTTAATCCGGTCCACCCGGGAAATAGGCAAAGTCCATCGAGATTCAACATTGGCTGTTTCTCATCTCCAGTAAATTTAAGTTGATAGAGTTTTGCTGGGTTCCCAGCCATTTGGCTGGGAACCCAGCAAAACGGAACTCTTGACGGAGTCGGAACTCTCGACTTGTGAGAGTTTGGTCCAATTGGACCAAACTCTCACAAGTCGAGCCTGGCCTCGGGCCGGGCTTGGGCAGTAGAAGAACTCCCAGAACCCCATCAAGCAGGTATTAAGCATTAATTAAAAAAAATGCATTGGCCTTTGCAGTATGAAAATTGAGCAGGAAGGAAAGGAATAGTCATATAAAAATTTATAACAATTTACTCTAAAATTAAGATAAACAAAAAATTTATGAAATATACACAAAACCTCTTACTTTAAACACTTGGTTAACACACAAAAGCAAAAATACACATGAAACTTACACTAATACAAAAATAAGGGTGACGCTAAAAGTGTTTACATATACATACATGCAACCCATTCTCGCAAATTCGTAAAGTCAATATTGACTTATTAACTACGTGCATAGGTGATATACTAAACATAATAGATACCCTTAAAAAGATTCATAGAAAACACCGACCTTACCTAACCTTGTTAGTATCTTAAGATAAGCATCTTATTGCTTCGTAATTACAATTATTACTTAACCTATACCTATTATAGATTAGGTAATAATTGTAATTACGAAGCAAGAAGATGCTTATCTTAATATACTAACAAGGTTAGGTAAGGTCGGTGTTTTCTATGAATCTTTTTAAGGGTATCTATTATGTTAAGTATGTCACCTATGCACATATTTAATAAGTCAATATTGACTTATTAAATTTGCGAGAACGGGTTGATACATGACCTGTACACAACGCGGCTGGAGGCAAGCTTCGCGTTGAGACTGTAATGTTGATTCCCTGAGCACCTGAGAGAGGCTTGACGAATTGACTGAGGTCATGGGTATTTATACCCCTGATAGTGATGTCACATCTTGTGTCACCGAGGCTTAGAACTAGGAACCGGCGGCATAACTGGCCATTTATAGACGTAACGAGGAACCGGCGAGTCTGGAGCCGTACACCTGCCTTGGGCTTTCGGGCTGGGTGGAGGTGTCCTGGTAGAGGTGTCCAGACATTCGTCTGCGGCTGGGTTGAACTCCATACCTTTCATAATATGAAGTACTGTATGTAGATCCGGAGGAAGTGTAGTAGTCTGGAAAATAACTTTCTAATGACGACGCTAAGAGTGAAGAAGAGGTAGTTTCCTTGGCTATACTGGGGAATTATGTGACTAATGTTTTACTTCTTTTGTGAGATTTGTGTGCATGATTGAGGAGTATACTGTAAAAACTCAATTTTGAAATAGAAACTAAGCTTCTATTATAAATGGAGGTTATGATAGCTTTTATTTTGAGGAATGGGTATGATTCAAGTCAAATAAGCATTCAGGTTTATATTTATTTGAATTTCCTTGTATATGTGTAATGATGGAGAATGTGGTCTTCCATTATTGCACTGTTGTGTGTTGTGAAGGGTATTAATGTAGGTGAGAAAATGTCTTGAATATCTAGTCTGTTGAGATTTTGCTATCAATATATATTTACATGCTGTACCACTATTGTTTCCATGCTTAAGGTTTAGTATTACTGTACCAATTAGTATCATAATAAAAATATTAATGTACTTTCTGGGGGGAGCCCCGTCGGCTCCCCGGAGCTTTACCGGCTGATATGCTAATGTCAGACTTTGGCATCAGTCATGTGTATGGAGTTCTAGGGCCTACCGGGGACCACGAGCCAGAACCTGGCCCCCTCAGAGAGGCAAGGGGAGCAATGGCCTATAGAAACCCCCGTGTGGTTGGAAGCATTCTATGTCTGCCATCGACCGGGTCAAGCATCCAGAAAGGTAAGCATTCCAAAACAAACCCCTATTCTGGTGAAAATTGCTACCTAAGCCGAACTAGTGAATAGAACTCTTCAACAGAAAACACGGAAACTAGTATGACGTCATACGTCACCGCGCCGCTGTCTGCGCAGCTCCCCCCTCCCCGGGAGGGGGAAGGGGGAGCCCCAGACCTCCCACGCCGGCTATCCACCCATCAGTTCTTCGGCTGATGCTATAGGCAATGGTTATGTGCTCCGGCTCCAGTGGTTGTTTCAGCACTGTACCTAGAGTGTGGTGTCTGTTTTCTAGGTGGTGCGTGAGCCGGGTGTGATTCTTCAGTACTCGGGCTGCATGCGCCTAGGGTTCCCTTCCCTAGGTGCCCTGTAAGTACTGCCCTTGGGGCTTGGGGCCACCTTCCACAAGTTCCTTGGGTCCTGCCCCTGCTTGGCCGTTTACCGCTTGGTTTTCGGCCGCTCTTTGTGTGCTCGGGTGTTCTGTCTCCCTTGTTCGCCTTAGAGTAAGGGGCAGTGTTTGCACTGGTGGGGCGCGGGGTACTGTGCAGCTTGTCTTTACCAATCATAGCGGCCGGCTCTGTTCCGCTTGGGTACGCTGTCCTCTTGCGGGGTTTTCTTTTTCTTTTGTTTATATACCTGGTGGGGGGGTCTGCCTTCGTTCTTGCCCCTTGTGTCCCTTGTGTTCTGAGTATTTCTGGTGGTACCCCCTGCTAGGTCCCCGTGAGTGTACACGTCCCGGGGGTTCAGCTCTTAGAAAGTTGTTTGGTAGCTTGGGTGCCGGTTAGCAGTACCCTGCCTGGGATTACCTG